TTGTATGATTCCTACAAGGATATTCTGTTCAAAAGTTTGCTTGTTTGGTTCTTGACCAACGACAATTGAGACATCACGGAATTTTGACATTTCGTACAATTTACGAAAATTTTCGTGATGTGTAGTCGTCAATAATTTCGCTATTTCGGTAGTCATTTTTTATTATTTTCAGTTACACATACAAATTAATGTGTGTTATCGTTATCGTTATGACTTATTTTCTCGCTCAATTCACAATGAAAATATGTGATTGTATAGGAAAATGTGTTACAACATATCGAAATTAGTAAAGTTAGATTCCTGAACACATGGTAACAAACCAATAAGAATGCACAAGTCACATATGTGGCTAGGGATGTTAATGGCGTCACTCTATAATAATTCAGATTCATGCCACACTGACGTGATCATGATGGAGTGGGGTGACTTTATAATTTTTAATCGTAATTATTCGATGGTAAATCAAATCTATTGCGATTCAGATACTAAATGTTAATTTCTACTGATAATTTATAAAATTTATAATTTGTAATCAAAATAAGCATCACGCATCCTCATTTTAAACACAAAGATGCATGTACTGCATCTGGCATAAGATTATTCCTTAAGTTTGTAACTGTATGAAACATTAGTTCCTTGCGTCGACAAGTAATTCTTTGCCATTTTACTAAGTATTGAAACTCATGGCCAAATTTCTGTCACCATTCAAGAGGATTTTTTTCCGAGGCGAGCGGAAAAGTCAAATATCTATCCTCTGTTGATATATTTGAACCTTCTTGTAAAAATGGTTCAAAAAATAATCGTAGGTTTTGATCTTCTTTTGTAGAGGTGGATGCGATTGATGATGATTGTGATTTATAATTTAAAATACTCGTGGGTAATTTTCTTATGACTGCTGTTCGTGTTTCATGTGTTATGAATTGGAATGTGGATTAAATATAGTGGATAATATAGTATCAAGTAGAGTGAGTAATATAGTTTGATTCATTGATAATATTCCAATGTTCTTCTAATTTATATTGTATAGATTGTGCCATATAGCATTCTTCTATTTCATGATTGATAAATGTCGATTCAAATGGCGTTGAAGATTTATAAATACAAGTCTTACGTCAATTATTACCAGATATGTATTAATAGCGATAGATAATAAATTTGCTTCTAAAATATTATCGAATAATTCTATCCTCGAATTTACATGCTTTCAATCCTCTTCATCAAACCATAAATTTCGAGATATTTTTATTTTTAATAAGTAAAAATTCAAGGATTTCTTTCATTTTCACAAATCCTTGTGACATTAAAAATGTGCTGTTCCAATATGTATCAAAATCCAATTCTAATTTAAGATATTATGACTTAAATGCTTCATAATGCATTACATAATATCTGAATTTGTCTTACTTTTTTATAAAATTTTTGACCTTTTCAATAATTTCTGTTTAAAATTCTTTATTGCAATATTTAAATTTGTGCTGTGCATTGATAGCATATATATTCATTATTTTCTAATGAAGAAAATATAATTGTAATTCATAACATGCTAAAAGCATTGATGCATCATTATCAGTTATAATTCCAAGAATTCTTTGATATAAGATCTTTTTTAATGATTATCAGGAAAATTCAAAAAGAAAATGATGCGCTTGCCAATTATTATCAATACTGTAATGCCAAGATATGATTGATTTGATATGAAAGTCCATATATTCCAGATATTAGATATCTTTGATATAATATATTTAATCTTTCTATAAATTTTTCTCATATAGCTTTAAATTGATTTATAATCTCATTGCGCAATGTTTGCTAACAAAAAGCTTGATAGTGTGAATTAAATATGTATATTGATCATTGCTCTATACTATGGATTAATTAAAAAGAAAATTGACAACAAATAATAAATACTTTCATACTATAGATATACTATTTTGAATTATTACTATTTAATATATCATCAGCTTGATTCTTAAAAGTTATAAATTTGCATCTTGATAGTTATTATTTTTGATATATGATTTATATAATATTTTATAAAATTTCTTTTCGAAGTTGGTTTCATTTTTTAAAAAAATAAATAATATACTAAATTGAGCTATTTAATCAATAATATAAGTAAATTTCTTGCTTTGAAACATTGATCTGACATATTATTCTGAAGTGTCACTCTGGAATACTTCTTGCAATGTCATATTATAATATTCTGAAGTATTACTCTGAAGTGTTGCTCTGAAATACTTGTAATGTCATATTATATTACTCTGAAGTTACTCTGAAGTAATCAGATGATCAAAAACAGAGTGGATTATTCAGCTTATAATTTATACTTTGAAGTAATTTCAGAGTATATTATGGCGAGCGAAAAGAACGATAACCAGAATGATTACTGTGATTATTATGATGTTGATTGTTCCACCGATAGCGATTTTGTTGAGATTATATGGTAAAAAATTAGAAGAGGTTAAATAATACCATTTTTAAAATTCGGAATGGATCTTCAGTAAATTTATTGCTTCTGATTCAGAAAATGGATTTTTATCAATTTTAGAACAATACAAAGAAATTGATGGTAGTAAATCTCTTCGTCCTGTAATTGATTTTGACGCTCCGGACGATAAACTCAGTGTTATAAAGTTTACTCGAAAAAAGGCTTATAAGCAACTATATTCGTGATTTAAAAAAGTTTGCACTGATGTTTTTCCAGTTAGTAGTATAACTGATGCTCAAAGCGATGGACCACAAAAAGGTCTTTACACGTTTCGACCTTTGGTCTTCGCGTTAGAAATGGAAATGAAGCCAAAGTTTTTACAGAACTTGTCCGCAGAAATTTGCCAACACCTTTGCAACAATTTGTCGATAGCATTGCAAAGGGAAAGAATTTTCTCACTAAGATTACTCGGCTCACCAAAAAAAATGAGACAACAGTGAACGCATAAAACAGGCTGTTTCACCAGAAAAATGGTAACGTTTGCAACTTCTTAATTCGACCATTTGAGGATGATTCACCTATTGTAGAAAATTCTCTTCTAATCGTATCAGAGCCAGAAAGAGATAATAATTCATAAGATGTTTCCACTTCAGACAAAAGTTACTTCAAGATGCTAAAATCGAGGGTTTTGAAGTAGAAACACCGAACTCTTCTTACCCGAGTATTTTTCCATTAAAATGAGTACAGGCTTCCCTCTGCCCCCTCTGCAAATGTGAACATACTAATGATAATGCATATGTATCAAGGTTCAAAAAGGCATACTGGTATTTTTGTCATCGTGCAAATCAAATTCTCCCGTAATGTTAAAAACCCTCCTTGTCACTCAGTACTCTTTACGAAAAAATGCTCAAGTTCCCCCTAAGTCAGATTATCCTAGAATTATGAATCCTAATAACCATTTTGTTTTCAGAGATTTACTTGAAATATGCAAGACAAGGCAAAAACAAACTGCAATATTCGAGGCATTCAAGCATCCGTTGCATGTGTCCAGAAGGTAAACCATTATGGATACTCAAGCATAGAAATGTTGATGGAGGGCTGTTTTTTTAAACTGACTCCAAATTGGAACTCCTTCCTTTTGAAATAAAAATCGAAAGTGAGCATAATGATGAAGCTTCTTGTAATGATCAGAAAACTATAAAATTAATTTCGCTAATTCAACTTGCAGCTACTAGTGAAGTATGTTATAAGAAGGTGTTGACTTCCTATAATTCTCTCACACCGAAAACTGATTTCTTTAATCTTTTTAGGTTTCAAGGCAAAACCATCGCATAAGATAGACTCTGGTTTTAATAAATCCTATTCTTTGGCATATTAAAAATGTTTGGTGCAATGAAGACAAAATTTTAGCCGAATACATTCTCAACTAGTTTGCATATTTGGCTAAGTGTCCGGCTAAAAAACCTGGAACAATATTAGTTCTACGTTCATCCTCAGGTTCTGGAAAAAAATATTTAACTGATTTTGTAGAAACGAAGGTTTTGGGATCGGAACTATTCGTTTTAGCGTCTGATCTTGGAAAAATTCTCGGACGTTTTAATAGTATCATTCAAGCTCGACAACTTATTATTCTGAACAAAACAGGAATGACACCTGGTGAATGGCACAAATCTAATGATCATTTAAATCCCTTATCACAGAACCTTATATCATGATTGAACGTAATAGACCTGAACGATAACTATAAATGACTTTGCAGGATTTGTGGTTTTAAGTAATCATGATAGTAGAAATGGGAGACAGGCGATTCGTATGTTTGGATGTTTCATCTCATTGTAAGGACGATATAACATATTTCAATCATCTTAGCAACATTCTTAACCATCCGGATACACCAAGAATGTTTATGTCATGGTTATTACAAAGAGACCTTTTAGGGTGGAAACCGCAAAAAATCCCGAATACCAAAATGAAGTCAGAAACTATGCGGGCACAATTTCCAAATCCTATTCGATTTGTAATTGAATATTTTCGAAAAAAACAAGACAATGACATCAATGCAATGGTTTTTATTCACGTTACAAAGACTAGTGCGAATTCAATGAGGAAAGCCAATTTGCGAACAGTTATGCTGGAAGAAAATTTTTACAGGTGGTGTTGAAAGAAGCGTATTTAGAGAAAATATATGTATAATTTAGACTATAATACTATAATGAAACAAATTCATGAATCAATCGGTCCAATTGATGATATTTCTACGCTAGAAATACCTAATAAAGATGTTAGTATCCGCACTAATACTCATAAATCTTCTGAATCTAAAATTATTAACGAGGTACAAAAAATTTCAAGAGTGAAGTTATTTTGCAGCCAGAACAAAAAAGTTTCCACTTCGATTTCAAATACTCTACAAAGCTCTAACATTCATGTCCAAAAACGCGAAATAGAAACTTCTTACAAGGATTCCACAAAGCAGGCCCCTTCTGTCACATCTCTAACGCCAGCAACACTATAGAACACGGGGAAAACCCTGATGAATTCTTAACAATTACAGAAGACGATAGGATTCAAGCCAAATCATACAGAGATAGGATGGGAGAAGACGCCAGCATGTGTCTATTTGCGCAGTAACGGGATGAGGATCCTACAGATTATGTAACCATGTCGCACCGTGAGAGGTTAATAGAAAAGAAATTATTCGTTCTAGGTTAGAGGAAAAGGGAATATATCCTATCCTATATGGCTCGATATTGACGAAAAATGGAAAAAGACCAGAAACTATCTTGGAAAATGGTTTTACTTCCACCATTAAAAATAAAAAAAGTATGTCGGAGAAAATATGTTTACATTATAATTTGCCCTTCAGGCAAGAGGAATGAATAACCACGTTTATAAAGAGTTTTTGATTTTTTTATTACGTGGATTATTTTTTTCTTTTAAATTATTTTAATCGTTATAAAACATAATAAAATTCTAATAATTATGAGTCACGCAGTAACGGATATTATTAATACGCATAACTTGTCATTCAAAACTGATACTTATACATTAAGCCAACATTCGACCGAATTAATGTCTAGTCTCTCAAACCGGCATGATCGCCGTTTAGTACTAACTCGTTTAAAGAATCTTGGTTTCAACCAGGAACAAATAGCGGTTCTCATGAAACCCGGAAGACACAAGAATGAAAATGGTATTAAAAAAATTAAAAATCCAGACGATGCATGTTTAAGACTCAACTCTTAATCGATTCAGAGAAGCCAATCACAACCGATTCACGCCTTCATGGTTACGTTCTGAATTGGGGAATTCTGGTCTTTCGGCCGAAATTATCAATGCAACGAAAATCCAAATATCACTACTTTAGCGAATAGGATGCAGGCTGAGAAAAATGACATTCGAATCAGTAACGGTATGAATATTCTCAATATATTTTCTCTTGAATCTGTAAAAAAAAATGACACGAAAATTATTGCATTTCTGACCCTCCCGATAATCTTGCTTTACCGGACATTATGATAATGCTCAGTATGGGACTAGCCGAAGTACAACTCTACGCCTTTTTAACGGATGCGTGACTGGTTTCGCCAAAAACCGGGATGATACTGTGCCAAGAAAGTTCCTATAAATGGGGAAGAATGAATCACGTGCCAAGAATTACTTACCTGGGATTCAAAATTCAATAAATTCTGGAATATTACGTAATCCAGGGAACCAGGAATTAAGTGGTTCAATACATTCCTAAAAAATACAATATTAAACCAAACGACTTACGAAAAATCGGTTTAGACCGGACGGAATGATTCCCATCGCCAAATGTTGACTGATATTTATGTCGTATCGCGGATCTGTACTACTTATGGTTTTTTTCACATCGATATACATGTTAAAGTCTGGAATCGGGAAATAATCAACCATGTAGATCGTGAAATTTGTGATACTTTAAATTTATATTACAGCTTGCACTCTTCTCGGTATACTTTCAACCAAATTTCCGGTTCAATTGCTTCCCATTCCTCCGCAAGTGCATCCATCAATTCTTCCAAATTTTTGGGATGATTTGAACATTTACAAATTCGTTTTTCCAAAACATCCCACAAATTCTCAATTGGATTTAGTCCAGGGCTCTGGGCAGTAAAGTGATTAAACTTTCCTCTTTTCATTGACTAGCTGGACCAAATCTGTGAACTGGAGCATTGTCATCTTGAAAAAGATGAATAGAACTACCTGGCCAATCATTTAGAAATTCTGTTCCATTATTTCTATATACTTTATACCAGTAATTCCATCCTCAACTTCAATTAATGGTTCAAGTGCATTTTGAGTAAAACATCCCCATACCATTACTTCTTTATTATCCAATTTCATAGTAGGAAGAAGAAATTCAACTTCGTATTTTTCATGTGGTTGGCGCCAAACCCATACTGGAGACCATTTTGGAATATTAAGTATCTTGATTTATCACTCCAAACTACTAATTCCCATTCATTGATCCAATCTTTTCTTTCTAAACATCATTTTTAATTGTTTTTGACAGTTTTCCTCAGTTTCTCGTCCCAGCTCGACCAAAAAACCCAGATTCATGAAGAGCACGTCGTATAGTTCTTTCACTAATAGCAGGATTGAATTTTTAGGTAATTTTAGCAAATGCTTGTTGTCAATCTTCTTTAATAATACTGGTTAATCTTTGGGTGGCTCTATCATCTAATTTTGGTGGTCTAACGCTTCGGGGAGCAACTGTATTATGGCCAAAGTCTTTGTATTTATTAATAAAGTAGTTTGGGTCGTTCCAGAGTATCTCCAATTTTTTTTCGGATAAACCACACTTCCAAGCACCGATAATCTCACCACGCTCAAGATCTTTAAGTTCGCAATTTTTACGAGCAATGGTAGGGTTTGACATTGATTTTTTTATTTTTTTTGAAAGCTTGAGATTTTAGCTTTCTAATGTACTATTTATTGTACGTAGTAATTGAATCGTACAACAGTCGTTTGAAATTACCCCCTAATTACGTCGATCATCGCCCGATTCCCTACCGAGTGTGTACACCGCCATATCGATATCATATATTTGTTTGATTATTATCGTTATTATACGAATTTTTAATTTTGTTACACAAAATTGTCATACATGAACGACAACGATTATCGTTATCGTTTGTTTTATTAACGTTATCATATAACCAAGTCACTCATTTTAATCCATTGAACTCAAAGATGGAAACGAATACTAGTCATTGTAATGAATGCACTGATTGTCAAAAGAACAGATACTGCGAGGAGTGTTTAGTGCACAAAACACATGATTGCATTAAATGTATTAAATGCCAACAAAATAAAAACTGTGTGCCATGTTTCTTTTATCACAAACGAATTTATAACGATGAATTGTCTAGCGGAGATAAAGATATCGACAATCTAAAAAAAGGATGCAACAAAATTAATTATAAATATAGATTCGAATGGATTCCTTTTGAAAGATTTACCAACGTTGAATATCTTGCAAACGGAGGTTTTGGGTCAATTTATAAAGCAACTTGGTTGGATGGACCATTAGGCAAATGGGATCATAAAGGAAATAAATTTAAACAAGGAGGAGAAAGAAAAGTTGTGCTGAAATCATCACACAATTCAAAGCAAATCACTCAAGAGTTTATAAACGAGGTAAAAATAAACATTTTAAAAGTGAGAGCTGCTTTTTTTTGTTTTCTAATACAATCAAATTTTTGAAAAATAGATTCAAACGGGTCTTAAATACCCTAGTAGTTATAAAAGGAATGATTATATAAGGTATTATGGAATAACTAAAAATCCCGTTACAAATGATTATTCAATAGTAATGGATTATGCAAATGGTGGTCTCCGTAAACATGCATGTATTGATTGTCAAGAAGATAAGTATTGCGAGGAGTGTTTAGTTCACAATACTCATGATTGTGGTAAATGTACTGATTGTCAAAAAAATGAGTACTGCAAAGACTGTATCAAATATCACAAACGAATTTATAACGAAGAATTGACTAGCGGAAATAAAGATATCAATAATCTAATAAAAGAATGCAACAAAAGTAATAAATATTATGAAATATTCGAATGGATTCCTTTTGAAAGAGTTACCAACGTTGAATATCTTGCAAAAGGAGGTTTTGGGACAATTTATAAAGCAACCTGGTTGGATGGACCATTGGATACACTTTCCACGTGGGATCATGAAAATAATAAATTTACAACACGAAGAAGGGGAGAATGGAAAGTTGTGTTGAAATCATTACACAACTCAAAGCAAATAACTCAGGAGTTTATACACGAGGTAAAAAAAAATTTCTAAAGTGAAAGTTGCTTTTTGTTTTCTGATACAATCAAACTTTTCAAAAATAGGTTCAGACTGCTCTTAAATGCACTTCTAATGCTTATCTTCAATATTATGGAATGACTAAAAATCCAATTACAAGCAAATATTCAATAGTGATGGATTATGCAGAAGATGGTGACCTCCGTAAATATATTAATTCAAACTATGAAAAATTAACTTGGAATCAAAAGTTAGACAATTTATCCGATATCATTACCAGTCTAGCAACAATTCACAAAGTAAACTTTGTGCATCGTGACTTTCACCCGGGAAATATATTATTATCAGATAGGATTCCTCAAATTGCTGATTTTGGACTTAGCATTCCAACAAATATTGAAAAATCTAACCAAGAAATTTATGGAGTACTTCCTTATATGAGTCCTGAAGTGTTATATGGAAAGTCATACACTACTGCTGCAGATGTTTATAGTTTTGGAATGGTTGCGTACGAGATTGTAACAGGTGAACGATCATTTGGTGAACGGAGTCATGATAGAAATCTCGTATTAGATATCTATAAAGGAGTACGACCTATGATACCAAATAATATTCCCGGATGGTATAAATTTATTATCGAAAAATGTTGGGATCCTATTGCAGAAAACAGACCAACTGCCGAGGAACTTGAAGACTTTATCGGATCTATCAATTATGACCACGGTACACTGAATGCTTTGCATTTTCAGTATTACAGTTCTTTAGAATATCCTAAAACAGAAAAAGAAATTAAAGAGTGTCTTAAAATAGAAAAACAGAAATTAATGAAATTTGATGATGAGCTGAAATTACAAAAAAGCATTCCTACGAATAAAAACAAAAAACAACAAATCCACCCAAATGTAATTTACACCAGTCGAATCTTTACTTCGAAATTAATATCAATTCTAACCACTACAGGTACGTACATTGTTTTGATATTTAATCAAAATAACATTCAAATATATCAAATATTTAGGTTCTACAAGTGTCTGTTTGTATATTCCAAATGAAGGTAAATTCATCATAATAATAACGATAATAATATAATGATTAAAAAAATTTTTCCACGGTATTTGATATAGATAACGATACTAATACCAAATTAACCAACGTCAGTTTATATGTATCAAATGAAGGTAAAATTCATTGTTTTTGAAAAAAAATGCAATAAAATCAGATATTAAAAAAATGCTCGTTTGCATGTGATATATAGATGACGCCAAATTAACGAGGGCCAGTTTAAAAGAGCAGCTACTAGTTCATGAGAGTAATAAATGCACTCGTTGTCGAGAAAACGATCGTTGCAATGAATGTTTTGATTATTACCAATTTTATAAAGCTAAATTATCTAGCGAAGACAAGGATA